CACTTCTTCAAATACGAATATCTGTTTCATATAGTTCCCTTTCTTGGGTTTTAAGAAAGTATTACCATTCATCAAATAATGTATTCTGACTGATTTTATTGCTTAGTTTTCTTTTATATTTCAAGACAGTAATTACTATTTTTCCCAAGCTACAGTATAGCCTTCATTAAGGCAAAATAGAGGCACATATTTATATATGGGAAACACAGAGACAAGCTCAAGATACAGCTAGTTTAAAAGTTAAGGCAAGTAGTAACTCATAAAGTATATTTCAATGGCTCTAGCAATGTTTAAAGCACTTTTAAACACGGAAAACTACTCAGAGAACTATTTATGCCTTTACCATGTGCATTTAAAAGTTGCCTAACCAGGCACTACTAAAAGAGAAAGTATTTATAATTTTGACAGCACACTTGTCACTGCTAACACCTGAATAGAGAATAGTATGATCTTAAAAGTATTCCCTAAGTAAGTATCAGGAACTGATCCATGTCTGTCATTCAGGTCTCAAGCAGAAGCAGAGTAACAGTTTCACAGAACTGCTTCCTAGCTCATTTCTAAACTCAACCAAAAATAATTCCTCCACAACAGAAAAGCATAAATCTTTCAAATGACTCACACAAAAATATCACCTTAGAATAAATTCTTATTGCATACTTTTTTTTTCTTAAATAAATTTTACTTTCATTTTGATGATTATAAAGGTAATATATGCTCATTATAGGATATATGAAAAATATAAGTAGGAAGAAAAAAAAAATGAGTCCTATCACCCAAAGGCAACCACTTAAAATTTGATGCATTTCCTCTCACACTTTTTCTATGTATTTTTTATATAGCTGCAAACACAATGTCCATAATTTATACAATTTATACCCCTTTTTACACTTACTATAATGTAAGGATTTTTCTACATTATATTCTAATGTAAGACTATGGAAACATCATTTTCGATAGCTGGTTATACTCTATTCTCCTATGTTGGCTATCTCCATTTATTGGTGACTGTAAATAAAGTGATGAAAATCTTCCTACATAAAGTTTTTCTCTGTATTTAGGATATTTTCCTTAAGATACACTTCCCAGATATGAATAGGTCAAGTGTGTGTATGTGTGTGTGTGTAAAGGTTCTTTTTCTATGTAGCGATATACCAGAATCACCAAACTTTCCTACTCTATATGAAATAAGATAATTTAGTTCAGCAACATTTCTTTTTAGAACATAAAAAATAAGACTAAGTGCTAGAACAGAACCTTAATTAATCATCTGCAGCTTGTCAGAGCTTTCAAGTTCTTAGATGGAAAATTCCTATGGCTGGGATATTGGCTTTTTGGCTTAGAACTACTGAGGGTCCCATATGTATCTTAGATGGCAAGTTCTCCTTAACACACAATGTGGGGGCCAAACAACCTGTCTGGACTTGGGCATCATTAAGTCTGCTACTTAATAATGTACACAGAAGAAGATGTTTCAAAATTCTGGCAATAAAGAGTTAAATGGAGAGCTGTTTGGGTGAACAGTCACACAAAGCAGATACAGGGTTCAATGTATTTAACCAATAATAATTAAAAATTATCAACCGTAATATTCAGAAATATAAAATATCAAATTCTAAAGGGCATAATGGAATTAAATCCATGACAGATATTCCCACATAGGATATTTTTAATACTCCAGTTGTTCTTGATAATCTGTACCAGGGCTTTATATCTGGGGTATAAAAACTATATGCAAAAATTAGAATTTGAGGAAGAGAAAGAATTCAGAAAGGTCCAGGTATCAATGAACTTTGTCCTAGCGGGTTATCATGTGAGGGGCAGGAGAAGTTCAGTAGAACATACTCAAAAGCAGGAAAGCTAAGAGACTTAAGGAAGAGTAGTTCCACATACAAAACTCCCAGACACTTTTTATCAGTTCTCCCATACAACTTCGCATAAATGAATTTGAATGTCCTAGTTTTCATTCTTCTCTCAGCATTTTATCCTTTCCAAACGCAACTCAGAGGTGTACAATGCACTAATATGAATAGTCTTCTAATTTCACAACTCTATCCATATATGTGTCTCAGGTATGAATTTTTAAGATAGGAAAATACTTTATAACAGTCTATATAACTGTAATGCATATGTGCCTAAAGTTACTAGGGCTTATAAATAGCATATATATAGACAGCTTTTTCCTATTCGCAATTACACAGCTCGAGTTAAAAATTATACTGAGGTTACCAAAGCTATGTTTTCCGTTTTTGAATATTCTTTTTTTTTTTTAAGTCTTCCGGACCTCCCTGCCTTTTACTCTTCTGATTGTTTCTGCCTGGTAAAGTATTTTCCATATCCATTTCTATTAATAATGTCACTACTGCTAATAATTTTAATTTAATAATGATAATTCTCCTAATTGAGCTAGTAGACATGAAATATTTTAATATTTCTCAAAATAGGTTAAAAATCACAATACACCATCCAACAAAGATGAGTTACAATACAAATCATAAGCAAGCTGTTAACTGAGCATGCCTAAATAGTAACATACTTTGGAAAAGAACGCATGCCTCAATAGAACATACTTTCGAAAAGGACATAGGTATGCACCAAGGTCAAGAAACGCCTCACCAAGCATCAGAGGAATCCAAATTTATAGATGATGGCAGCTACATAGGAACTGCTCCAATATCTGTATGTTAACCACCAATACTTCCAAAGATCAGATTAATTAGGCAAACTCCCCTTTTCACATCCTTTAATACACTAACCAAATGGCAAAGATTTGAAAACTTACAAGCAGCAGCAGCTTACTTAATGAGAATCTATAACATAAATTCTTGTGTAATCTTAAACTTATGATTAAGCATCCAACTTCAAAGAAGAGCCTTGTAAGGCCCTTCCTACAGAGGAACATAGAAGTTTCATATGAAACTACAACATTGGACTTCCTTAGATACACAGTTTACTGACAGCTCTAAAAACTCTTCTTAGATTCCCAACAGAATCTCTGTAACATTATACTTTCAGAAACCTATCACAAGGCAATCCTATGTAAAAGCAGTTCATTTTGGTCTAAGACAGTAAAACTCTTTCTTTGAAAAAGGGCTTTTATATTAAGTAACATGATTTTACACTACATAAAGGAAAAACTTGGGTGATTATTAAAGCAATAACATTCATATGGGCAAATGAAATACCTTAATAGATGGCTTAAAATAAATGTCATGTACATTCAATTTTAAAACTACATTAAAAAAATAGGGTAAGAAAATATAATGGGAATGATGACTGTCCATCATACCTCTGGTAAATACTCAGTGTGAACTACGCACTTAGCTGCTGAAGTAAAATGATGCCACCAAACATAAGAAGTAATATGAACAAATAATTTATATGGCTAATGCAAAGAATAAAATGAGATGAAAGCAATCCTAACACCAAAATATGCAGCACTGAAGTAAAATACACCAAAATAATAAACTGTCAAATAAACAATTTTTGATTAAATTACAGGTTAGGAGAAGTAGGAGGTTTTACACAGAAACCGAGGTGGAAAGGGATCAAAAGGAGTTAAAAAATGACTAAGTGGCACAGACAAACCAGTGAAAACGAACACCTAGAGGAAAGGACAGATTAAAAGTTCCCAACACACTAAAGTGTAGTGACGTGTTCCTGCACAAAGCAAGAGTGCCTGAAGTCGGAATGACAACACTTGGTGAATAAAAATCCTGGGTGGTTCAAACCAACAACCAAGCTCATGCCCACATAACCATTTTATCAGTTTCGGATGAAAAAAGAAAAAAATATTGTGAATGTGGCAGGGTACATTTAACAACGTATTTAAATTAAAATATATTCAAAAGGCATTTTCCCCCAGTAACATGGTTCATATTATTTGAAATGAAAGCATTCTGAAAGACTAAAATCATCTGACCACATGCTAATCATTCTCTAAATATAAGGTCAAATAATTATAGTTATTTATATTCTGAAGGAAAACATCTATATATGTGTAGTTTAATGCTCCTCTCCCATGCTGAAGTCAGTATACATTCAATTAAATTGGAAAGAAAAAAGAATTTATTACTAGTTTCTACTTAAAATATGTAGCACCCATAAGTAAGCTCAAGAAAAAAGACAATCTTTTCTGGGGAAAGATAGCTAGGGAAAAAAAAAAACAGACTGTTTCAGAAATGAATCTGTTGAAACTGCATAAGTATAAATAAATTAATACTTAAACACTATCATGATCAGGTTATACAGCACTTTTCTTTCTAGCATGAGGAACTAAGGTCACTGAAAATATAACCAGAGGTTTAAAAAAAAATTTTTTTAATGATGTAGTATTTAGAAAGGTACTTAAAAGCAGGTACTATATCTTCATCTTCATATTCTGTCCCAGCTCACAGCAAGTTCCTATCCAAGTATTCTGAATGAGTAAATCGAGATGGAGGGTGATAGAGTAGAGGGAGAATATGGCCTCACACATGTATTATCTCTGGAAGTGATCTCTATTTCAGTGACCAAAGATTTTACAAGTTCACTAAGATGATGTGCTAATTTGAGAGCAGCAGATATATACCAATATTTGGTCTTTGCAGACATTTAGTGAAACTTCTGCTTAAATAAAAACGATGAACAGTTTAGAACTGTTCTTTTACAGTTCTAAATCAAACACTAGGCATGGCAGTGATGATTTCTAAAAACAAAGACTTAAGATTTAGTGTTGGGTGGGAATCCTCCCTACTGAAGTACAGTGAAAAATTCTTAAATGACTTTTTCTCAATTAGTTAATCAATCTCTGTTTATGAAACATCCCATCTAGCACAGGAAACCAAGTAACCGACCACCACCAAAGGCTGCTGAAACCTGAGAAAAGAAAGCCCCCCCAAAAATAACAGGGAAAGGTGGTTCCTTTCTCACCCCAAATTTTTCATGGGGTAGAGAGTCATCTTCATTCCCAGGGGTTTTTTTTTTTTTTTTGCCTGCATGTTCACAACTCTAGACCATACCCTAAGACCAAGGTGGCAAACTGGTAGCCTGTAAACATGCTTTGTTTGTTCTGATTCGTATTAAAAATATTTAAAATTAATTGTCATTTAAATATCAGGAAGTTTCACATAAAAATTCTGATTTGTAGTGTCTTATAGAATCAGAAGACCTGGCAACACTAGGCCTCCACAACAATTGGCCTTATTTCCTTATTATCCTTGTTTCTTATACTCATTCGTTTTTACATCATCCAGCCAGACCCCGTAGGCTCTGACTTTTTGGTCCCCACCATTGCCTACTTTACCTACACCCTTTTGTAAACTGGGAGATACTTCAGTAAAGAACCCCCAAAACTCCACTGTACTTCTGTCAAATAATTTAAATACTAGTAGGGATCAGCAAGTTCTTTAAAAGATCCACTGGTTTCCTGCTTCATCTTTTTCATTCTCTCCATTCTTGATCGTTTTATGTCAGTGACATGTGTTGATATTACCATTAAAATACTTCCAGTATATAAATAGACATGACAATGTAGTGATTTATTTTCAAGGATCACTGTATAGAGTAATTTACTATGAGCAAGCAGATCCATCTGATGCACATACAACCTATTTCAACTGGAAGCTGACTAAACTGACATAAGAATAAAATTGTCATCACCAAAGATACAATGAATCAATCTGCAAATATGGGCAATCAAGAGCATCTGGGATAAATAATTGGTTGTGAGCAGCAGTTACTAGGATCCAAGGTGGATTCACCAAGAGTAAGACACCAAAAAGATGTCACTTCCTATTTAGATAAAAATATTACATTGGTAGATCGGAGGAATGTGGTAGAAATTATATGCTGATTTCAGAAAAGTCCTTCATCAAATCTCTGCTAAGAGAATAAAATGTGGGCTGGATAATACTGCATTTTTAACTGAGTGAAAAACTCCCCAAGAATTTTGAACCAAGAATGGGAAAGAGTTCTCTAGTGGAGTGCTACAGCGCTTGCTCACTTTAGCACACACCCTCTCTCTCTCTCCAGTCTGAGTATTCAACATTATTTCTTACCAGTAACTTGAAAGATAAAGAAGATATGTCTATCAAATTTGCAAATAACACAATGCTGAGAGAGCTATATAATGGGACAAATGACAGAAATGATGTTTGAAATGACTGAGCCAGAACAAATGGATCAAAAGGAAGAATATGACATTTAATAGGGATACATATGTAATCCGGCATTTAGATTCCAAGAGTCAACTAAAAATGTCAAATACATGATTAGAGAAGGGACACCTTGGCTTAACAGCACTTCATGTGCAAAAAAATTTGATTTCAGCTGACCCCGGGATTACCGTGTCAACAGGGGGATGTGGATTCATGCAGTAGCTAGCTGTTGTCCCAACTGTGGGACATGACTGACGTCCACTGTGTTCTGGACTAGTCAGACCACAACTGGAGCATTGTTCTCCATTCTCAGTGGCACTTTTTAAGAGGTACTCTGAAAATCTAAGGGGGATTTAGATGAGGACAACCAGGCATGATGAGGTCATTAAACCATCTAATTTAAGAAAAGGCTGAAAGAAATGGGTATGTTCTACCTGGAGAAGAGAAATTAGGGGAGACAGGATGGTCGTCTTCAAATGTCTGAAGGATTGCTATGCTGAAGAGGGAGTAGAATGGTCGTATGTTGTTCTAAAGGGCAGAACTAAAACTAGAGGAGAGAAAGTTATAGGGAAAATATTTTAGTTAAAAAAAAGCAAAAGTAAAAACCTTCTCTAATGAAGAAAGTTATCAGCAGATAAACAGCACTCTCTCAGGAAGGATGCAGAAGACATTCTACTGGAACGTTAGGCTAGCTGAATTGCAGAATCTGTTCCAACTCTAAGATTCCCAACACCAGAGCCCCTGAATATTGTTTGGTTTGAACTAGCCTTGCATTTGCTCAGTCAGTCATTATGAGAGAAACGTCTGGGGTTATTACTTTACAGGATTCCACTCAAAAGACACCAGAACTTTACCACCAAATGTGTGTGATCCCTTCAAAGCAGTCACCTGAAACAGCTGCATTCTTACTCCACAGAACTGCTATGCTCAAAACAGCTCTGAAACCCTTTTAGAATGCTTCAAAGTCAGCTTTTGACTGACGTAAGATATAGTCTATTTCATAAACATGCATATACACTGTTGGTGGACACAAACTATCCTATTTACTTGGTACAGTCGGTGCTTAGCTAGTCAGTGAGTGTCCAGTGGTGAACCAAAATAACCCATTTCTAACCCAAATCTATTATTTAGCTTGATCTTCCATCTTAAGTCCAGCTTCCAATGACATCTGAATGATTTAAAAAACCTAATTCATCCTTAGACACATAAAAATTTGATGTCAGATACAAATTTATATTACATAGGCTCTTAAATGCTCAAAAAAATTAAAACTGATTTGAACAAAGGTAGCATAACTAGAAGAATATAACCTTCCAAGTTCATTACTTTAAGGGAATATATACATACTATATTTTTGTTTTTCTTTCTTTTTAAAACACTCAATTTATAGGCATACTTCATGTTTTGGGCTTAATTATAAAGACTTCAAAAATCGGCATAGTTGTTACTACACATCTTTTCCACATTCCTTTGAGTCCTTAAAATCAGTTATTATCCTCATTTCCAGAAACCATGTTCTTTCAAACAAACACTTCAGGTACTTAAATGTAAAATTAGATAATGATTACAAATGGTTTCAAGAACAGAGAATCTTTTTCAAACCCAAAATACTAGTAAACATATTAGTAAACATACTAAAACATTAGTATGGTTTTAGTAAGATATATTATGTGAATGTAAGCTGGGTAAAATATAACAATATATTTTATTTGGGATCAGGGTGTGTTTTCCTCGCACAAATGTCCTAATCCATTTCTACAACTCACAGCTAAAAACTTTAATCTCTGTACATATATTTTTCTTCTAATATGAAAAGTACTTTAACTTCCTTAATGAAAAAATATTCAAAATCTTATTTACAGCCCCCTAAACATACCTATTAATTTAAAAACACTACTAAGGATGATTCCAAAACTAAACATTGCCATCACAGGGAGAATTTTGGTGGAACTTAGTTGGGAATCAGCCAGCTTGGCATCTTTGTAGTGAGTATCTGTGTAATCAACAGTTATCCACTTTTTTCTTTTGAATTCTAATAGAATGCCTGGTACCCAGTAAATAAAGTTAAGAACCTGTTAAGAACTGCAGTGAAGATTTTGTTCTTTATAGATTGCAGCAAGTCTGAGTTGAGGAAGTTCTGACAGATGCAAAATGTGCACCTGTTGCAGGTGCACATACAGCGTAACCGGGCATGGCTGCGAAAACACACAGAAGGACAGGCGTTGAGTTCTTACTTACAAATATGGCGCAAGTTAGGATGTGCCAACTTAAAAAAAAAGATTTAGGCACAAGCAACACTTTTCGTAAAAGGGAAAAGGATACTGTGGGGCAAGCTAAAGCTGTGCATAATTCCCTATTTATCAAAAATGTAATAAACAGTAATAGCTCCCTCCTCCCTCCCTAAAGAAAATCAGCTAACACTTTTTTTTGGAGTGGGGGAAGGATTTATTATTATAAGAGTTTTGGTGGAATAAACATGCACAGCAATAGATGGCACCCTCATCTAAATCAATTTGAAAAAACTGAGTAAGCCACAGCACCCCACCAAAAAGACAAAGTTTGCTAACATTTAAATACCACTCCCTCCTCATCCTCCTCCTCCCTCAGCATACACACATGTCTGAAAACCAGGAAGGAGAAGAGTGACAAATACACAACAGTCAAAAGATGATATTCAACCCTGAGGAGATATGAACAACATCGTCTTTAATTCATCAAGCACCCTGGCTCCCAAGAGAAAGCAAAGTGCTTCATCAATTTCGACTTGAATGAAATACGGGGTTAATTTCATCTGCTATCAAAACACAGCAGCTCAGTACGATAATGTGAAACTCTGAGTAAGGATGTAAAAATCAACAATGGATCCAATTGAAATTAGGTATGAAATTTAGGGAGGCTTTCTGACTCCTTTCTGGTTGAGCGGAGTTGCACGAGTTGGTGCAGGCATATAGGGTAACCAATTTCACCTTGGCCCTAACAACCAAAGTAGGGGTCTTCAATGACTATTCAGTTGTCAGAGCCACTCAGACATACAAGGCCATCACACCACCCATGACGAGGTACTGGCACAGAACCCATTCAGAAAAGCGCCACCTGATGAATCAATGCCATCACTTCCTGTAACATCTGAACATTTTTAGAGGCTTCTCAGTCAAAGGACTGGCCCATTCTGACTTGGCTTAGTTTGTTAGATCTGATGAGACCACAGCACACAGTGGCATGGTTGTGGAGATTAGCAGCATCCCAATAATGCCTAATTCCCAACATGAAGAAAAACAAGATTTTTTTCTTTTTTTTTTTTTAAGCTTTGACAGGCTCAAGACATTCCTTTTTAAAACTGGACTTACAATGATGAGTATAACACTGCTATTAAGTCACTGCCAGCTGTCATACTGGAATCCATCTGTTATGTTATAAATTGAATCTGACTCTTCAACATACACAAGGCTCCACCCACCAAAAAGGAGGGATCAAAGTATGCTTAGCAACAGGGAGATGCTTCATGAGAAGTAGTTTGGGATTAACCATATAAACAAGTGTCCATGTATGTACATTTATCATACACACACACACACACACACACACACACACAAACAAGAATTACAGGAGAATATTTTAAAGCTGCAGATCTACATACGAACACAGTTATTTACAAGGTAAAAATACTACATTTACGTAGTAAAAAAGACACCATAATATACAGTTAGGCAGTAAGCCTGACCAAGCAGTGCGTTTCTGGATAATTATGTGAATGTTAATTACGTCAAGAGAGGAGACTTGGTAATCCTATAAGAAAATGTCAACAAAAATCCCATAGAAGCCATAAAGAGAAAATAACTTACAAAGCAGTTTTTAGAAAGACCCAGATTTTTCTCAAATTCTCTATTCTATCAGTGTTGCTCATGTCTCGGGAGAGTCTGTCTCTGTAATGATCCTCTCTGCAGATAACATACACGAGAGTTTTAAAGCAACAGTAAAGCATAAATAAGGTTTTGCTTATCTTATAGTAATAGGAATGACTTGTCTTCCAATTATTATTATACAAACAGAATTTCAAGGGTTTGCTGCATTAAAAAAAAAAAGTATTAGTTAATGGAATAGCAGTAAAGTTAACTCTGATTTTAAAAATCTGTACAAATTAATACCTTTCTGAAAAAACCTCAGTCTTGGTTTATAGCAATGTTTGATTATTACTCTATTTTATATTGTAATTTTCCTAAGAAGAAAAATAATTTAGAGACCGATGTAATAATGAATAGAATTTAAGCTATAAAATCCTGAGAAACGCACTGCCTGAGAAACTATCTTGTTACAAAACATAATTTACACAAACACACTACTTCAGGAGAATGCTATTAAGAAACATGCAATTTTAAGGCAGTTAGTAAACTACAAAGATGACCACAGTTATGTGCTTGTGCATATGCATGTATAGATATATAATAAATGTACATGAAATGTGGGGCTCAAAACACTTAATGTAAAACATTTATATAGTGGAAATTTTAATTACAATCAGTTTTTATAGCACTTAAAAAATATATTCTAAACTCAAACACAATTTAAACATAAATTCATAAAAGATTTTAGACTCCTTCACATACCCAAGGTCAATTAATCAGCAGATAAATACAAAAATGATTCTTTGTTCATATGGAAATGCCTTGTAAGCAAAAAGCAATATGATGCCCACCCCATTTCATTGCAGTAAGAACCTTTTTTTTGGCTAGGAGGGAGGGCTGTGTTTTACTGTACTAGCCTATAAAGATAACTACAGCCTGTTCAACCCTACCCAAATATTGTCAGAAGCACTGTTTACATGATTTTATTATGACACCCAAACCAAAGTTACATTTACTCAGATTTGTACCTTCTCATTACTTCTCTTTCTGTTGCTGAACAACCTCTACGTGACAAAGATCCCACCCTCATGGCTAAGAACGGCATGCAATGTTATTATGAACCATGCAACATGAAAATGAAGACAGAGCAAGTACTTACGGGTACATGGCCATTGTTGTCAATTTAACAAAGATATCCTTACTGGGTGCATCAGCACTATTGCAAGTGAAGGCTTGTGGTGGAGGCATTTTGTGTTTCCTGCAGAAATCAGCCGGTGAAATACTATACTCTTGTTTAACTTCATGCAGGTCTGACTTTGCAGCTACGATTAAGCAGGGTATTCTACTGTCCATAAAGTGTTGCTGTGTAGTAAAAAAATGACATAAAAATCTGATGACAAGCTAAAAAAAAAAATTTAATTAAAAGTGAACTAAAAATTCTTTCTGGATGGGCAAAGCATTGCTAACTTCAAAGAGAGAAAGTGAAGCAAGAGACAAACTTGGCAGTGGCCCAGGTCAGTCGTATATAATAAATATGATCAGGACCATTTTCCTCATGATGATAACAGATCTATACCAACTCTTCTGATTCACTACAATTTGAAAAAACATATATATTTTTTGATTAAAAAGATGTAATACAAATTTTGAAATAAAAAGAAATCCACCTAAATTCCTCTATCGCAAGGAAGACTACTTGCATTTTTTCACATTACCTCTAACATCCAGTCCTTGAGCACATGTATTTATAAATGTTTACACAGTTGCAGTCATGCTGAACATAATCATTTTAAAATGTAATACTTCATCTTCCACGTTCTTCATCATTCAAGACTATTATTTTTAATGATTGCTTAATATTCCACTGGATTATTTTAATTTAGTAAACTATTCTCCTATTGTTAGACAGATGATTTCCAGTATTTTGCTATTTAAAACAATGCTGGAATAAATATGTCTGTACATACAGCCTTTTACTCCAATTGAATCTTGTCAATAATCTCAAAGTGACTGGTTTATCCCCTTGCTCTGGCTGTTATTGCTGGTGTAACTGGCAATATATAACCCATGTGCATTCCTAACAGGCAAGAACACCTTCCACTAATGCAGAGGTTCTTCACCAGGAATACACATCAGAATCACATGTGGAATTTTTTTTTTTTTTAAATACAGATGTCTGGGACTCTGCTACTTCAAAACCAAATCAGAACCTTTAGAGTAGAGTACAGACATATGTAGTTTTAAAAAGCTCCAATAATGACTTTGCTACATTCCCCTGGTTAGGAAACACCACGTCACAATGCCACTATCCTCCAAATGAAGTTAAATTTAGTCAAAGATCATAAGAGAAACAAACCTTAAAGATCCTGGCACAGTATTCAAAGGACTTGGGATTACTGACATCATATACCAGGCATACAACATCACAGATGATCTCAGCCTCAGTTAGAAATTCTGATTCTGAGATATCATGCAACTTGTAAAAAGAAAAAGACAATGAGAAACGTAAGTATCGTAACACTGATGTATAAAGTCATGATGTTTTATTATTTGCTTAACTCGACCTCTTGATAAAAGGATACTAGTTAAATATACTTTTGCAGACCATTTTTTAAAGTAGAAAGTGTAGATAAACAAGTAGCTTCTGATTTTGTGGTTTAAAATTAGTGATTAAGATTCTCAAGAAGCTTAGTGAGTGACTCGCGTGTGCTAGGCAGCCCCTTCCCATGCATTATGCACATTTTACAGATAAGGAAACAGACTCAGTGAGATTAAGTCAACTAACCAAGGCAACACATGTTAACAATTCGCTAGACCAAATTTTGAACTCAGATATGATTCCCAAGTCTATTTTCTTTCTTCCATACCACCTTCTCTCCCACTGATAAAAAACAGAAAGCAAATGGCTCTTTACACTGAAGGTCATTTTGTTCTACTTCACTGCCTACTCTTTTTTATGTTTATTACAATACCACTTTAAGAAATATTCCATCTATGATAATGATCCAACAAGAGTAAAAGTCAGTACTCAGTTGTCTAAGATAGTACATCTTTGGTGAGAAGAAGAAAGGAGAAATGGAGGGCCAGAAGTGACTCAATGTCTTCCAAATAAAATACTATTATAGCATACATATTAAGAGACATGAAAGATACCAGTCTGCTAAGGATAAGAAAACAGGAAAATTAACAGTCAATATTTACTGTGTACCCGACGTGTAGAACTATACTTACAGGAGAAGAATGGGAGACAAACAAGGTTTAGTAAGAAACTAACAAGGAACATTCATCATAAAAAATAAAATACATATAAAATTCATTGTGATCACCTGACTGACAGATTAAACTATTTCTAAAAGACAAAAGGAATGGACTTTTTTTAGTGCCTATTATTTGCCAGAAACTTCTTGTATTAGCTGAATTAATAGAATACTCGGGACTCGCCTGAGGTCACAAAGCTAATCAAAGGACGACCAGAGTTCAAACAGAAATTTGACTGGATCCAAGGAGAACGTATAAACTCCTTCTACTGTATTTCATGCTATCTTTTTAGTCATACCCTTCTAGCATTCATTTTTCAGGCTAACACATGAGTTAACTATACATCCCACCCATCCCCTGTCAAATAGATAAAACTCTTTTCAGATTATAGATAAACTACCAAGCACTTGCACTAACCCTTCCATATTAATTTCTAGTCAATAGTAAAGGAAATAATTTTTTTAAACAGAGATGGAAAAGAGAGTAAAAAGGGAGTCTATTTTTTTTTAAACTTTCTTGTTGAGGTATAACTTATACAGTTAAGAGCACAAACTGACAAATTTTTACTTATATATATAAAGCCATGTAATCATCACACAGATCAAGAAAATTAGAATTAATTCCAATGCACAACCCAGGTAAAAAATTATGCAAAAGTTCTACATATCATCATCAAATTAAACCCAATAATGTTTCCAAATAGTCATTTTAAAATGTACCTAATAATGAATTATCTTTGTATGCCAGAAAATTTCTTACCAACAAGTATTTCTCTTGTCCATATACATAAACAGTATTAATTGCATAGTAGGATTTATGTTCATCACGGATTTTCTTCTGCCTCTGAAAGTAGAACAGAAAATCTCAATATTTATAGTAAGAAAATTAGTGACAAGTTTTCATCAACACACACACACACCTTGTGTTGTGTTACAAATTAAAAGGGCATTTTTTCCCTACACAACGTACTATTTGTCACTATAAAGGGTATATATTGATTTTATATTTCTTAGTTCTTAGGGCCGAAGACAAAAGAATTTGTTCTGCATAAAATGAAAGCAGTCTCTGAAAAGGAAGAAAGCAATTACTATTGAAAGAGTATTCCAGAGCCACCTGCTGGCACTTCTCATTACATGTACTCTAATTTAGCCTGCTTTGAGCATCATCTGGAAATACGTCAGGCTGCTGACTCAAAGGAGGAGTCAGAAATAGGTATCAGTACTCAGTTCACAATATTTACTATGCATTTATGTCATGCCAAGCACTGTGTTACATGCTCTCACAAGTGTATTTATTTAATCCCCATCTAAACACTGGCTAAGAAAAAAAAAAATGATAGTTAACAACATCCAAAGACAAAGACAGACAGTTCAACGAAATTACTATTACAGTTTAGACTGTACTTTACTAATATGTAGGCTACCGAGTTCTAGTAATCACTTAAAAACGTTAACAGCTAAGAAAAAATTACATAAACACAAGATTATAAAAATGTGTTAAAGTTCTGTTATTTGAGAACTCTCACCATTAAGTTTCTTCCAAGAAGAGCCTGAAGAACTCCACTTTTCCCACAGTTTTTCATCCCAATTACATTACATCTGAACACATTTCTTTGAGTCTGCTTTTTCTGAAGGTCTATCTTTTTATCTCTTGTTACTAAAAGAGGGGGAAAAAAACCCACTAAGTATGTTCCAGTTAGACTCACTCATTTTACCTTCTGCAAAATAGAGTATTGCTGTTTATCGCTTGTATGAAGCATCTGAGCTATAAACAAACATACTGTACAACAGTCAAGCTGTAAGTGAAATAAAGTACTTAATACAGAAGAGCCTCACTTGGTGGAAAAGATACTTTTTTTTTTTTCTGTAACAAATAAATCTTTAATCTTTTATGTGGTCTGACACAATACAAGTTTGTTTTGAGCTCGGATGAGAGGTGAAATTGGTCAAATTGGTAGTGAAACCTCTGCTCCACACAGTCATTTAGGGACCCAGGTTCCTTCCACCTTGTGACTTGGTCCCTCTTCAAGGCCTCCACTCAGCTGTAGATGGGGAAAGAGAGAGTGCAGATTGTGCCTGAGAATTGTTTTTTTTTTTTTTAATTGTGCTTTAGGTGAAAGTTTGCAGACTGAATTAGTTTCTCATTCAAAAACTTATATATAAATTGTTTCATGATATTGGTTGCAATCCCCACAATGTGTCAGCACTCTCCCTCTTTCTACCCTGGGTTCCTCGTTTTCCAGTCCTTTCCTGCCTTCTTGGTTTTTTTTTTTTTCCTTTTGGGCAGGTGTTGCCCATTTGGTCTCATTTACATGATTGAACTAAGAAGTATGTACCCCACGTGCGTTATTGTTTGTTTTATAGACCCATGTAATATTTGCCTAAAGGGTGAACTTCAGGAGTGATTTCATAAAAGGGTGTTGGGGGCCATAGTCTTGGAGATTCTTCCAGTCTTTGTCAGAGCAGTAAGTCTGGTTCTTTTTTGTAAATCTGAATTTTGTTCTACATTTTTCTCCACTCTGTCCAGGACTCTCTATTGTGGAAAAGATACATTTGTGAAAGTTGGCTGTAAAGTGAATTTCTAGTAACCAAATGATATTTATTCCATCATAAAATAAGTAGTACATTTTCATAAGGAAAATGATAGCCTAACAATGAATGAAAATTACAATGAATGTAGCCAACATTTTACCCTATCTATTTTTTCTGTGATAAATATCATTAAAAATTATATACTAAAAAATGCTGTATCGAATCTACACTCACCTGGAGTTGGAACTATAAATGGGAAAGGGATATGTGCCCTAGGGTTAAACAGCCTTTTGAATGTGAATCTGTGAATGCAGCTGGCCAGAAAACAATGGTGTATCATCAGGACAATGGGACGCCGCTCTATCTGAAGTAAACAGACCTCCCTTAAGCTAGACCCAGAGACTGAACTACAACAAAGCTCACCAGAGGCACTATTTATACAGACAAAAAACTGAAAATGATAAAAATACACAATAATTGTGGAACAGCTAAGTTAAAGAACATCCATACGACGACACATTATTAAACATTAAAAAAATACAAAGCGTACTTATTGATATAAAAAGATGTCCATAATACATTGTTGATTAAAAGAACCTCATGGCTGGCTAGCAGTTTTTTATCTTAGGTGGTGAATTAAATACTATCTAACTGGTTAAGTATTTTAAAGGGTGCTTGCTCTGTCAATTTAAGAAAGGCTGTCTCCTTGTGCTAGGGCTTCCTATAAGATATGGCAGCTTTCCCACCAATTGGAATATAAGAAACTCTTCAGATAATCGATGTCCTAATTTGTTACTTCCATATCTATGGTTTTTCTTTAAATGGAGTGCACTGCTGTGGCAAGACTGCCTAGTTTACATTACAAGATCTGTGAAACGTTATTAATGTGGAAAAAGGTTACAAAGCTGAGAGGCATGCAATTAGTTTACGACAGGATCATTTGTGAACAATTTTTTTAACGTTTGAAATTTTTTTTGTTTACTGTTGTAGTTTAAATAAAGTTTACATTTTAAGTTAGTCTCCCATACAAAAATTTATATATACATTGTTATATGACCCTAATTGCCTTCCCCATACTGTGACAGCACACTCCTCCTTTCCACCCCGGATTTCCCCTGTTCATTCAACCAGCTCCTAAACCTCTCTGCCTTCCCATCTCACCTCTGGACAGAAGCTACCCATTTAGTCGCTTAACATAATTTTTTTTTTTTTATTTACTGTGGTAAAAATATATAGAATACATTTCCCAATTCAATGTTTTTTCCATGTATAATTCAGTGACATTGATTACGTTTATCATGCTGGGCAACTATCACTGTTTATCTGTTGCCAAATTTTCCATCACCATTAACAAATATTCAATGCTCCTCAACAATGACTCCTCCTTCTCCGCTTCCTCCAATAAACTTTAGTCTCTAAATATTTGCCTATTCTAGATAGTTCATTTAAGTGGGATCATATACTATTTATCTTTTTGTGACTGACTGACTTCACTTAGCATAATGTTTTCAAGGTTCATTCATGTTGTAGCATGTATCAGGATTTCATTTCTCTTTAAGGTTGAATAATATTCCATTGTATGTATATATTACATTTTGTTTACCTATTCAACATGAATTATTTTTAATGTTTAAAGAAAATTAAAATGCAAGATGGACTGGTAAATACTTTTAATGTCCAAAGCCCTCCTTCATTGGTGGAGTACTCCCAGGCAGCAGACTAGGAGCAAATCTCTACTCTTTCTTTTTTGATGATTTAAATAAAATCCAGCATCTCAACTCAAAAGAAATTACCAAATCAAGGGGGAAACAGTGTAGACACGGAAGATTAATGAAAATGTGTTCATTTTCATTCTTTGAAACTTATGAAACTGGAATCTTAAAAAGATTTTTCTAATCAGGAGCTGAAGAGTATTCAGATACTTACCTGTAATGGCCGAAGCTTGAGACTCTTGTTCAGTCAATATTGAATAGCCTAGATAGCCCAAATACTCCAGGCACCGCTGTACATCTAAATAGGTCGTGAGCCTAGGAAAGAGAGATTTTAAAATGTAAGAAGATCCTAAGCGAACATTTATAGGGAAAAAAAAAAAAAATTCCAACAGCGCAAATGATTTTACCACCAGACCCAGATAATTACTGTCAGACTGCTTTAATTTCCCATGTGCCTCCAGCCATGGCTTTTCCTACATTGCCATTGTGTGTGTGTGTTTTAGGTGAAAGTTTACAGTGCTAACTAGTTTTTCTTTCAACAAATTTAAACATAAATTGTTTTGTGACATTGGCTGCAATCCTCACAATGTGTCAGCACGTTACACCTTTCCACCCCAGGTTCCCTGTGTCCATTTGTCCAGTTTTCCTATCCCATCCTGCCTTCTCATCTTTGCTTTTGGGCAGGTGTTGCCCATTTGGTTTTGTATACTTGATTGAACTAAGAAGCACATTCCTCACATGTGTTACTGTTTGTTTTATAGGCCTGTCTAATCTCTGGCTGAAAGGTGGACTTCGAGAGTGGCTTCACTTCTCAGTTAGCAGGGTACCCAGGGGCCTTAGACTCAGGAGTTCCTCCAGTCACCGTCGGACCAGTAAGTCTCATCTTTTTTTTTGTGAATTTGAACTTTGTTATGCATTCTTTTCTCGCTCTGTCCAGGACCCTCTATTGTGATCCTTGTCAGAGCAGTTGATGGTGGTAGCCGGGCACCATCTAGTTCTTCTGGGGTCAGGTTGGTGAAGCCTCTGGTTCATGTGGTCCATTAGTCTTTGGACTAATATTTTCCTTGTGTCTTTGGTTTTCTTCATTCTTCTTTGCTCCTAATGTGCTGGGACCAATAGATGTACCCTAGATGGCCACTCGCAAGCTTTTAAGACCCCAGACGCTACTCACCAAAGTAGGCTGTAGAACATTTTCTTTATGAACTGTGTTATGCCAACTGACCTAGATATCCCGAGACTATGGTCCACAGCCATCAGCTCCAGTAACTAAGTCCTTCAGGGTGTTTCGATGTGTCTAGGAAGCTTCTATGACTTTGCCTTTGGTCAAGTTGTGCTGACTTCCCCTATACTGTGTGTTGTCTTCCCCTTCACCAAAGTTAATACTTGTCTACTATCTAATAGTGATTTCCCCTCCTCACCCCATCCTCTCCCTCATAGCTATCAAAGATTGTTTTATTCTGTGTGTAAACCTTTTCTTGGGTTTTTATAATAATGGTCTCATATAATATTTGTCCTTCTGTGATTGACTTAATTCATTCATCATATACTGCCATTCTTAAGGCAGAGAAGAATGTAAGATGGAGGGGGGATTTCTGTATCTGCTCCACCTGCCCAAAAAGAGCAAGGCCACAGAGATGAGTGGTAAGCCTCTGTAAAATTTAGAGTAGGGATCTTTTATATTACCTGCTTCCCAAGTGATATACAGTGTCCTACAAATACTGGCCAGTTGAGGACGTACTGATTCATTCAACAAATATGAAAAAGACTGTCAAAAGTATAAAAATAACAAAAAGCACCTGAAATTAGTAGCCTATCTTATGTATTTGGAAAAAAAAAAAGATTCTAGCATTGAAAAAGTTAGTCTCACCAAGGCATCATGCAAGGCCAGAGGATTCCTTTAGCATCCTAGGGCACAATGCCAACCACGCTATAACTGTAGATTGTAGACAAATGCTAAGTCTTACTAAGGTTTATTAAAAACGAACCAACAAGAACAACAAAACCCTCAAAACAAGTGTTCAGTGTTAAGTAAAACGTGCTTCTCCCCCTATTTTGAAAGTGTAAAAATTGTGTAATACAAATGACATTTCCTATTCCCCAGTGAAACAAAAAAGTACTAAAATTTACTTCTGTTTCAATGTAAGACTTATTACTGTTTCCTTGTACATTATCCAAAACTGAACACATCCCTTCCTGACAATTTATAGAACACCTGTAGTTCATCTCACAGGTATCAGCAGCACTATAAATCCTGTTCACAGACAGTAATGATTGAAGTATTTCATAAGATCTGATAAGCTCACACAATTATGAATGTAAAGCACAATTTTAAACTAGCTGTAACTCTAGAGGAAATAGGTGAGTTCTATACTCACGTCCACTGGGAAAGGAATCCCTGATACGTTATCCAGCCTCTTTCATTTGTACAAACTGTGTTATTCACATCTGGCCCCCAAGGTATGTAAGGAAAAACTTGAAATAAATCTTTAAGCTCATCAGGTGACAAAGCACAGTCTCTATCCTGAAGACACACAAGGAAGTATACATAATGTTTAGATATCTAAAAGAATAATCCCCAAATACAAGAGCCCCCTAGTCTAGTAAAGCTATGCTTCTAAAAACTAATTAATAAATTAAAACAAATTTTACATTTTATCAAGAAAATCTCTTACATGTATATAAAAAAAACCTATTAAAGAGTCTTATCAGAGACAAGACTTTTACATCTTGAGAAAAGAAAACAATAAAAACAAATAGCAGAAAATAATTTTGCAGTTTAACTTAAGAGTCTGAGCAATTTTTGGGCATGAGTATCCTTATAGCTAAGGAAACAAACTAATATCATTCACAGAAAAATGTTTTACCATATAGAGTGGAAAACTGCTGCTAAAAGCTTACCAAATCATGCTTGTCAAAGGTGCTCTGGAGAAACAAATATGCGTGATGATTTAATTCAGTAGTGCAATCAGGAGGTATTTTTAGCCTGTTGATGAAAAAATTTAGAAGTGAAATAATCAAATATTAAAATTTAACTTAAGAAATGAATATAAAACTGCATGAAGTCTTTTTGTGGGGTGACGGCATGTTACAAAAATATTTTCACCAAAGCCGTCTGGACTTCCCAGGGAAAGTCTCTGGCATGGTTATGGCAATCTTCAGAAATGTCATAATCATGGCCATTCCCCATGCATGAGGTGGCATGCAAAGCTTTCTTTATCAGAAGGGCATATTGAAATAAAAATGTGTCTCAAATAATACTGATTAAATGGTAATGCATTTATTCTTCCTTCAAACAAATTTTAAGTCATAATTATGGGCTTTATATTAATGCCAGCATTGGTGATGGACTGAAAATTATGAAAAGAGAGGTTACTTCGGCCTAATTTGACCTTTTTGACCCACCCTAAATTCAGCAATAAATATTTATCAAATACACTGAGCTAGGCACAAGGGACACAAAACAAGACTGGCTCCCTGCCTCTGAGGACCAACCAACCACGAACAGAAGGAGCTCAGTGCTAAGCATGGGTAAGGATGTTAGGAGAGCCCACATCAAAGGAAACTTTGACTTGGGGGTGGGAAGGTGTCTTTGAGAGACACTGTCACCTGAACTGAGGCTTGAGGGATGAGAGGCATTAACTAGGTTGGGGAAAGAGGAGGAAGAGAGCGAAAATAGCATGGACAAAAGCCTGCAGTAGGAAACGGCATATGTTTGGTGGGCTATATATAATTTGGTATTTACTTCTAGAATAGAGAGCTTAACCAACTTATTTCTGATCTCTTGAAATCAAAACAAGTTTGTCTAGCTTTTTTTCTTTTTCCTTCTTGAGTAAAATTAATTAAAAAAGATACTTGTAGTGTCTAGGAGAAGAAAAGAAAAACATTGCGCTATGCTATAAACCATGACTTGGAACTGCCTTGAAGGCAACTGATTTTTTTATACATCAGCGGCTTGCAACCAGGGATGATTTTTCCTGAGGGGGCATTCAGCAATTTTTTGGAGACATTTTTTGTTGTCAAAACTGGGAGAGGAAGTGCTACTAGCATCTAGGAATGCACTAAGCATCCTATAATGCACAGGACAGCCTCCACAACAAAGAATTACCTGGTCCAAAATGTCAGTAATGCCAAGGTTGGGAAACCCTGCTATTAAGCTAAGTTATTTCTGAGTAGCTTGAACCCTACCTACCTATATGCTACATAAAACTTAAAAAAAAATTACCAAATGAAATCAATCAGAAAACCAAAGGTACATACAGGGGGAATAAATATTCAGGTGTCAAATCCAGATCATCATCATAACCAAATCGTCGAAGCACAGTCCAAGTAGTTTCATGTCTCCCTCTCTGAATAAAAAGTGTGTGTAAAAAAAGAAAACCTAAAATAAAGTAAATTAGTAAATAGAGTTGATGTGAAATAAAGGTATTCACATGGGAGAAAAGCATATAACACATAATGACAAGAGCTTGATTTGTGAACATCATCAATGTATACCAGTATTGAATACTGAAGATCAAGATAAATAAAGTTCCCAAGTGTCTCGATAAAACAGAGCTGATTTCAGAGTCATTGTTTCACACACACAACCAGTTCAGCAAGAATGAGCCCTGGGTAAAAGGGCCAAAAATACATCCCAAGGAATACACTGACATTCTCAAGGTTATGTGATAGAAACAGATTAAATGGTTTTATAGATCTTTACTCTTATTTCTATAATGGAAAATTCTGGTTTTCAATTTCATTTCTTATTTCACTGTGGCTCTATAATATATTTTACAGGGGACATTTTATACTTGGTAAACCTGAATGGTAGACAAAATGTCTTTCCTAAAAATAACTTCTACTTAAAGGCTGCTTCTGAATAGGAAGAATCTGAAGGGAAATTTGTTTGTTCCAGGTATCTCTTTCCCTCAGATGGACCTCTGCATGCCTGAGATCCAAGCAATTTCCCTCCCCCTAACTGACACTAAGGATAATTATCACCACCACTGGCCTTGTCTCTTAAATATCCAAGACAGATTTTAAGCATATTAGGAAATGCTAAGATTTCCTGAAAGTGTAAGTAATGCTACAGAACCTTCACCTTCTGCCAAATTTTTACCCACCTTTCAGTGTCAATCCACTGTCAGCCACACCATCACTTATATGTTTTCTGACTACATTCTTGACATCTTCCAAAGCTTGAGGAGCTAATGGAGTGTTAAAACAAATTCTCTAGCAAAAATATAAAAATCAATTTAAAAATAAATCATCATTAAAACCACAAATAACATAAAACATTAATCTTCAAAACAACCAGTAAATCAAAGAGTTGCAACCAGAAGAAGCAATAAACTAGGATACTCTCTGCTTTGTATTATTTAAGTAAAACATGTCATACTTAAAAGGAAAAAAACTTTCCCTACTCCCTCCCCTCCATCCCATTTCTAAATACAGGGCTGTTTGTGTAACTATGTTACACAAAACTGAGAAAGCAAAATAATTCAGAGTTCAGACTTCAAGTCATCCTTAATACAGCCATTGTATACTGTGAAATGAAACTTATCAAAGAGTTCTCTCAATTCCTAGGCATAAGAGAGTTCTATACCCTAGGCAAAGGCTTAAATAGCTTGATGTGAAAGTTTTATGTGAAAGAGACACGTTTATTAACATATTATTGTCAAAGCTGATAACATTTTTTAGTATCTTATACAGCAAAGAGACCCTGATATACAAATGATTGAAATAAAAGGCAGCTACCTGAAAGAAGTTGAGTTCAGCATCATTCAGAGTACCATCATTATCTTGATCAGATATTTTAAATATACGAGTAAGGGCTTTTATACAGGCTGGTTTCATCTACAAATCATTGAGAAAAGAAACAAATGTTTTAATTAAAATAGTTTGGACTTTCATATGATTTTTTTTATTGTACTTTGGGTGAAGGTTTACAGAATAAATAGTTTCTCATTAAACAGTCAGTACACATATTGTTCTATGACACTGGTTAACAACCCCACGACATGTCAACACTCCTCCTTCTCGACCTTGGAGGAACTTTTCTTTTTTTGGTGAAAATATACATAGCCAAAGATACACCATTTCAAAAACTTCTACATGTACAATTCAGTGACATTGATTATGTTCTTCCAGTTGCGTTGCTATTCTCACTATCCTTTTCCAAATTATTCCATCACCATTGTCTTCAGCTCACTGTCCCCTAGGCTTCCCATCAAACCTCTTGAGTTGCTGTTGTCAATTTGATCTCACATAGATAATTCCTTTTTTCTTGTTGTTGTACTTTAGATGAAGGTTTACAGAACAAAATAGTTTCTCATTAAACAGTTAGTACACATACTGCCCTATGACAATGGTTAACAATCCCACGACATGTCAACACTATCCTTACTCAACCTTGGGTTCCCTATCACCAGCTTTCCTGTCCCCTTCTGCCTTCTAGTCCTTGTCCCTGGACTGCTGTGCCTCATGAGTCCCGTTTTGTTTTATGGGGCTGTCCAATCCCCGGCTCAACGGTGAACCTAGGGAGTGACTTCACCACTGAGCTAAAAGCGTGTCCAGGGGTCATATGATTTTTGTAAGTAATGCTGGGAATAATTTTTGATGGTTTTCACTACCAAATACATAACATCAAACACAATCAATATGAAAAATCAACTAAAGCAAAGGCATTAGCTTTTATACTCAACTGTTTTTAAGTAAATGCAACAATACCTACTTGCAACTCTATTTGGAATGGTCAAGCCCTCCCCTCATGACTCCACCAGTCCTCCAAGGATGGGAAAAAGAGAAATTCATGTTTAGGGGAGACTGATTCTTCTAGTCATGTAAAGAAGCAGCATGTACTTATGTATGCCCTCCTTCAATCCAGAAACAATTTGAGCTGACTCATAAAACTACTAAGGGCTTTCCTCTCTAACTTCTTATTTCTGACCATCAACCTTCCGGGAGCAGAATGGAACTAAATGTTTTTTTCTGTTCCTTGCGTATATATGTCAAAGTTGGACTATAAAACGTGCTTATTCACAAACAGGTGGTAAAACAGTACTAGTTAATAAGTGTGAAAGCCTCTGTTGTAAGCTAAGAATTACTGTAAAAAAAAAAAAATCTTGTCTTTTGTGATTCTGTAAAACTTTTCTAAGTTTTGCTGCTGAAAATATATTTTGACAACCTAATTTTTGTTTTAGGATTTATAATGGATAGACTATATTCTGACTATTTAAAAATAGGGCCCACATGCCTCTAATTTACATAACTGCTATAAGATCATCGCTGTCAATAATTTTCAGAATAAATAAAACTTTCAGGAAGATCTTTGAACTTTGTGTAAACTCAGAGAAAGAGACCTTACGAACCCATGTGAATCAGAGAAACAGGATGGCAAGCTCAGGAAATGTGTACTTAATAACTTCAGTCATATGGCTGTCGAGAACAAAATTGTAATGATGACAGTTTTGATCATGCTATCAAACTCAAATAGAGAAAAGGAATCCTTTAAAGAATAGGAGAGGAAGTAGTTGTCTTCCCAAACATACACAGACAAACCCTTTTTTTATATATTAAATAGTTTCTGGGGGAGCAATCTGATATAGTGAGAAAAAGATAAAATTAAGATACAAAGGGATTAGAAAGAAATTTTTAAAAAAGCCAAAAGAAACATTTAGAGTGCACTGGATAGGGCTCCCTTTCTAAAAGACTACTAAATGGAAAAAAACCTAAAATGTATATAATCATAGGTGATTTTCTTTTAATAAGTAAAGAATGTTAAGATACTGTTTTTATAAATGTTATCCTAATATTAGATATTCAAGATCAACAGATTACATTTTATTTACTCTCCTTTAAAAAATGTTATACAATAACCTAAATGTCTCAAAAAGTAACAATAGTTGTAATGATATACAAAATAGAACTTAAGAAAAACTTTTTACTTTGTGTAAGCAGTTTTTCCTCACATCATAAAAAGCTACATTAAAAAAAAAATTTTGAAGAAAAATAACAAAGATATATTTTTCATTAAATGTTGAAATGCATCCAGAAGCTATATTTAAATACTAACCACCTTAAAAATATAACGCCAAAAAATGACTACTAAAAATTATACCTCAGTAAAGCTATAAAATTTATAGTAATAAATAAACAAACATTTTATAGAGGAGCACTGTGGCACAGTGGTTAAGAGGTACAGCTGCTAACCAAAAGGTAAGCAGTTCGAATCTACCAGGTGCTCCTTGGAAACCCTATGGGGCAGTTCTACTCTGTCTTATAGGGTCACTATGAGTCGGAATATGACTTGACATCAATGGGTTTGTTTTTTTTTTCTTAAATCTAAACCCTCACACAGTAAACATTATTACACATAATTCAGATTTTTTCATTACTAGGTAAGTTGGAAGACTCCAGAAGTCTGTCATGGGACATACAAGTTAACAGCACTAGAAACACTGAACAGTTGAGGCTTCAATTTTGAATATGATGTTTTTGATGATTCTACCTTAAAACTGTGTCAAAAAACCCCAAGTATGGCCCCTGGATACCCTTTTAGCTCAGTGGTGAAGTCACTCCCGAGGTTCACCGTTGAGCCGGGGATTGCACAGCCCCATAAAACAAAACAGGACTAATGAGGCACAGCAGTCCAGGGACAAGGACTAGAAGGCAGAAGGGGACAGGAAAGCTGGTGATAGGGAACACAAGGTTGAGTAAAGACA